TGAGTTTCAAGTTCATATGTACAGAATTTTCATATCATTATCATTCTAAACTCTCTATTATAAGGATCGATTAGGATAGAGGAATATTTAAACGAAACATAGGTATTGGTGAATTTTTAAATTGTAATTAATAATTTATTTTAAATTTAATTGTAAATTCTTTATTATTTAGTCTGCTAACGATGTTCTCGTTTCAAATATTAACCTGAAAATAAATTATTATACGAAGACATATACGAGGTATGGACTGTAATGATGATGTCTAAGGGAAAATAATATTCTGTTGCGTAACATCTTTTATGTAAGCGAATTTTAATTTAATTGAGCGTTATATTTATGTTGTAATAATTGTATTGTATACTGAAGATGGTCACTCTTGTAGGACCGAAACGTTTAAATTTGTTCTTTGACAATAAATTTTGATTCATAGAGTCTCACGAATAAGATCTAGTGTGTGGTTTTATGCTCTTTTATTATTGAAATTATAATTTCTAATTAAACCACGTTCTATATATTCTTATATCAAAAGAAAAAGCCTGAATAATCTCTATTATAATTTTAAAAAAACTGATTCTTTGGCCGGTATTCATAGTCGGTTCTTATTTCAAGACTGTCTTAAGTAATGTCTTAAGATGCTAAAGCGGTCCTCTGATTGGTTCGTAACTCTTTAAGACTGAACTTAAGACGGTCTTGAATATAAGAACTGACTATGAATACCGGCCTTTGTGCTGAATTTTATATTTTCAGATTTATTGAAAGATAAGGCCTGAATCCAATCTGTCTAGTACACCTTTATACTACTAAAGTATCCTGATCTTGATTTTCTCACTATATTTATTTTGTGAATTGCCTTTTGTTTGTTTGGCAATTATGTCAATATTATCTTATAATTTATTATTTATCATTATTTTTTACAATACCTTCACAAGAATATCCTGATAAATAATAAATTATTTCATAGGATAATATTGAGATAGTTCATTCATTCAAGATTACGCCAAATATAAAATTAGTATACATTGCCTTTTAACGACATTGACAAATGACTTTCAGGATATTTTAATAAAAGGGTATATACAGACAGATTCAGGCCTTTCCTTTTAATAAATCTGATATTTCAATTATATCAGATATGATTAGAATCTCTATTAATTTGTTTTCTCTATTTATTATAAAAGAACTAATTCTTTGTGTTTTATTTTTAGATTGAATTCTTATTTAACTGGTAGTTATGTATGCATTGCAGTAGGAAGTAATTTTTGATATAATTATATCAGATTTATTGAAATTGACAAATGATTTTTATGATATTTTAATAAAAGGTATATACAGACAGATTCAGGCCTTTCCTTTCAATAAATCTGATAATTTCAATCGTATCAGATATGTTTAGAATCTCTATTAATTTGTTTTCTCTATTCTTTATATAATTATAAAAAAACTGATTCTTTGTGTTGTATTTTATTTTCAGATTGTGAAAGGAATTTATCTGGTAGTTATGTATGCAATGCAGTAGGTCAGATGAGTTTCATAATTTGTTTTCTCTATTCTTTATATGTATAGTTATAAAAGAACAGTTTTATTGTGCTGTATTTTATTTTCAGTTTGTATTAAATTTTATATATTATACTTCATTTAAAAATAATTTTTTTGCGTCAGTATTTGACTCATTGCCCTTATTATTATTGCCCTTATTATTACTTGTATTGTTTTATTTTTAGATTTATTGAAAGAAAGGCTGAAAATCCAATCTGTCTGTGTATATACCTTTATTTATATACTAATATCTTTAAAATTATGTATCGTTTTAAAAAGCAATGTACTGAAAGCAAGTAATTTTACAATTTGAAGTAATCTTGATTTTCTCGCTGTTTACTTTGTGAATTGCCTTTTATTATTATTTGTCTGGTAGTTATCTCAATATATTATCCTATGAAATAATTTATTATTTATCTTGTTTCTATTCTATTTTATACCTTTACAAGAATATCCTGATAAATAATAAATAATTTCATAGGACAATATTGAGATAACTACCAGACAAATAAATAATAATAAAGTAAAAGACAACTCACAAAGTAATGTTGTACCTCTCGGTGCAACAAGATATTAATTTGGGATTCGATCCGCTCAAAGGGTTGGAACCCACGAGGAAAACGAGGAAAGTGGTCAAGGTCGTAGAACAAACACTCACTGCACCACACTTTTATTAAAATAACCCCTTTTTATTTATTATTACACTTTACAATTTCGAGTGGTTATTACCACTGATTACATTTAACCCTTTATTGAATTGATACAATTACCCGATTAAAAGATTACACTTTGATAGTTACAATTCGAGTAGTTGATTATAATAGTTGGATTTAATTAAAAGAATAATACTCGGGTTAAAGTCCTCGCTCGTGACTTAGACCGGTCGGCGACACTCGTTATCGCGGATGTAATATGACTCGGTTCTCGCGACGCGCGTAACGTATCGTTACGTTTAGATGTATGACAAGACTCTCTCGCCGGTCCTTAGACCGCCGAATATATAGGCGTCGCGGAGTCATCGAACTAGCGGCATTCGTGCCGTGTGCAATGCGGACTTCGTCCTCTTGCATTTCGGCAGTTCGTTGTCCTGTCGAAATGCAAGATTTGCTTTTTATTACTAATTGTTCGATGTGCGTGCGGTCATTGCTTGCGTTCGATCAGTGATCGTTGTCCGCACGCGTTATGGAATTTGCAGCCTTGCATTTCCGCAAGTCGTTGCTATGCCGAAATGCAAAGGTTGCTTTGCAGTAATAATCTTGCATTTCCGCCAGCTCGTTGCTAGGCTGAAATGCGAGACTTAATTGTGGTAGCACTCGCGGGCTACAACACCATTCCCCCGTTAGAAAAGAAAAACGGAGGAACGGAGTTTTTCGTGAAGTAATGATTTTAGAAACGAGTACTTTTGCTTCTTTTCAATATTGATCTAGGAAGACTAAAACTATTTTCCATTTCTAATTCCTCGTTTCTTTGGTATGATTTATTTTTTGATTTGCTCCGTTTTTTCTTTCGTATGATGTATGCTATTACTATTGCTATTGCTATTATTATTACTAGTAGTACAGAAAATCCGCTTGTTGCCATTGGGTAAATAAAATGTTTTGATTGAAAATTTATGTTTTCGTTTTTATCAAGTTTATTTTTTTCCTCATTTAATTTTGCTTTGAGATTTTTCAATTCTGAATGATTTTCTGTAATGTCTTTTAGTTTTAATTGTTCATCTATATTTGAATTTACTTTAAGATTTGCTTTATCCTCTATTATGGATATATTATATTCTGGTAAGAATGACTCTATTACCGTCTCATGTGTCGTCTTTGGTGATTGTAACGTTGCGTCAGGTGTGATTATTTTACATTCGTTTTGTATTGTAATTTTACCCGTATTCTCAATCGTCCTTTTTATTTTCCCGTGGTCTTTACACTGTATATAAATTTCTTCTTTTTTCGCAGTCGTATATAACCAAGAGTGTGGATTATTTAAGGGTATCCACAGGGTATTATTTAGTATTGTTTTTTCTATTTTACAATTCGTATTATATTCGGTGTTTCCTAAATATATTTCTATTTCGCACGTTTTATCTAAGTTCGCGCGACGTATTGCGAAGTTTCCATTACATAAATATTCGCTATCGAGTTTTTTACATTTTTGTAAATTATTTTCAGTTATTATAAAATAAGAATGTCCTTCTATGTTCACGGCGAATAAGGGATTTTTTATTTCTAAATTCACGAATACATTTTTGTGGTGTGTTACAGGTAATGTAATAGCGTTTATTAATTTATATTTTGATGGTGCGACTAACGGAAATTGTAAAACCGTAAATATGCTTTTTGAGTCGCAATAGGCGCTTATAGTAGCCGTTTTTTCTATCGTTGGCCACTCGTTATTTCCGATTTTAAAGGGAAAACGAAGTTCTTCGGAAAGTTGTAGACTTGTGTCTCTAAGGTTTTCTATGATAGCGCTAACTGGTGTTAATCTAGGATTTAATGTTCCTACTCTTATGAAGACTAAGTATTCTAAAATGTCTTGTGCGTCACGTATTAAGTCATTTAGTATTGCGTTGATGACGATAAAATGTTCGTGTATATTGATTGTCTTTTCATTTGTAAGTAGTTGTGTTTTTAACTTTTTTGTTGCGTTCGCTAGTGTATATTCGTTAGTCTGTATAGTCTCTTCAGTGTTTTCAATGTGAGCTATTGTCGTCTGTAATATTTTTATTTGATTTTTTACAGCGTGTTGCGTTGCTTGTTGTTTGTTTTCTAGTATATTTAATTGCTCGTTTATTAATTTTTCGTCGTCGGCATCCATAGTACCGAATAATGTTTTCGCGATTGTTCCTATTCCGTTAATAAGTCCTCTTTTTTGGATTTTTGATTTTTGAAATGTGGACGTTATTTTCGTTACTAATTGGTCAGCTTGTCTGTACCCGTTTTCTAGTATTGATTTAAGATTTGCAAAAATGTCTCTGTCAATGTTTACGGAAAGGTGACATATTGCTCCGAATTTTTGTATATATTTTTGCGTCTGTTCTAATCTTATTGGTAACGCAGTAATGTTTATTTGTATGACTAATTTCCAGGATGATTGTATTAATTGCAAGTCTCCTATGTGTTCGAAGTATGTTCCTGGATTGTCGTTGAATTTATTTATCTCGCAGAGTGCATCTGTTTTGATGTCGCCTTGTATTAAGGTGATGTTTAATATTATTCTGAAATTACAATATTTTTGCGTTAGTTAGATTATTTTTTATTTTATCTTATGTAGATTTTTATATTCGTTCGTTTATTCGTTCGTTCGTTCGTTCGTTCAAGGTGTATTTTATCGTGGTCTCGTTTTTTATCTTCTGCTGTGTCGAGGCTTTCTCATATTATATTCTTATTAATTTGCTTGAGAAGATTTTTTATGTGCTCGCTGTCTCGTCAGTCGTCTTGCACGTTCCGTATAGTGAAGTTGTACTTGTACTATTTAGTTCGCTTAATTATGTGCGGGATTACTATTCCTGATGTTAAGTCAGTGTTTGTTGCGGGGGTGCCGATCGTTCCGGATCCCGTGAACCCAGGTCCTCGCGTGGGCCTTGCTGCCGTAATAGACCGATTGGGTCGGCAGGGTTTACTTGTTCCTGGTCGCGGTCGTGGTCGTGGTGCGCCTTTTTCTGTGATGCACCTCCGCTTTGTTCAGGAGGGTCGTGGCCGCGGTCAGTTAGACGTTCCTGACGATCCGAATCGGGGGAATGTCCGTATTTTCGGTCGCGGTCATGGTCACGCTCGGGGTGAAATTGTCCATGGACCAAATCGGGAGGGTTTCCTCCGCATAGGCGGTCGTGGCCATGATGGAATCTTGGACGGATGGACTCGGGAGGATATCGTCCGCGTAGGCGGTCGCGGTCGTGCTCAAATCCTGGCTGTCCTCCGTCTAGGTGATCGTGGTCGTGGTGTCAGTGTTAGTGATCCACGACCCGGCACTTCCGCCGATTGATTTTTTAGTCTTTTCTTTATTATTAACTTTTAGTGTTAGTTTTCTATTATTTTATTATTATTTTTAACTTTTTATTAGTGCGGTAAATAGTTATTAGTGTAGTGTAGTTTATTTTTTATTATTGGATTACTATTTGTGACATTGGACTGTCGTCTATCTTCATTGGTGAGTTGTATTTATATTTATATTTATTTTTAATCTTATTTTTAGTTTTCTATGTATAGTTTAAGACGATTTACGTGTGTTAATAATTTTTTCCGCGCAATTTTTATAGTATAATTAACGTCGGAATTTTTTTCTAAAATTACGTATGGTCCGGTCCATAACGCGTCTAGTTTTTTCGATCGTCCGCGGCGAAGCGTTTCGTCATATAGTAATACTTTATCACCTATTTTAAATTTAACTTCCTTGGCTTTTTTGTCTTGATACTCCTTTGTTTTGATTTTTCCTTCTTTTATATGCTCCTTGGCTATCTGGTTCGTTGCTCGTAATCTTTCTTTTAACTCTTGCGCATAGTCGTCATATGTATACGATGGTTTTGGAGGTATTCTCAGCGTTGTCGGTAGAGTAGCTGTGTGTCCGTAGATTAATTCGAATGGCGTGTAGCCTGTTGCTGTGTGTGGCGTCGTATTAAATGTAAAAATTGCATAGGGTATCCATTCGTCCCAGTCTGTCTGTTCACTATTGATGTAATGACGCAAATATTCTGTTAATGTTCTATGCGTTCTTTCAAGAGCTCCGTTGCTCTCCGGATGATACGCGGTTGTTTGTATTTTCTCGATTTTCAATAATCGGCACACGTTTTTGAACATTTCGCTTACGAAGTTTGTTCCTTGATCGGTTAAAATTTTTTCTGGAATTCCGTGTTCTAGCACGATTTTCGTAATAAATTCTTTTGCGACAGTCGCGGCTTCTTGGTTTGCAATAGGTATCGCTTTACTAAATTTCGTTAAACAATCTTGAAAAGTTAACATATATTTATTTCCATTGTTCGTAATAGTTAATGGCCCTACTATATCTAAGGCGCATTTCTCGAATGGTTTGTCAGGTGTTTCTGTTATCACTAAAGGTGCTTTTAATTTTTTTCTTAATTTATTTTTTTGACAATATTCGCATTTTTCGATGTATTTTTCCACGTCTTTTGTTATTCCTGGCCACGTGTGATACATTCTAATTCTATTTAAAGTACGTTCGGTTCCTTGATGTCCTCCAATAGGTGCATCGTGGTATTCATAAAGTATTTTTTGTTTTTCTTCTTCGCTATATATCTTCATGGGAGTATCCTCTTCTTTTTCTTTTAAATTGCAGATATGTGCAGCTACGTTTCTACTTAGCGCGTCAGCGTTTGTATTATTTTTCCCTGCTTTGTGGATTATTTCATAATCATATTCTTCTAATTTTAATCTCCAACGGATCAGTCGTGATCCCGGATCGCTTACATTAAATAACCATATTAGTGGTTTATGGTCTGTAATTATTTTAAATTTAGTTCCATATAAGTATGGTCTGAAATGTTTCACAGTCCAAACTATCGCTAGTAGTTCTTTCTCTGTTGTATTATAGTTCTGTTCCGCTCGCGATAATACGCGGCTAGCATACGCGATCGGACGATCCTGACCTACCGTACCTTGAGACAGCACGGCTCCAATGGCGTAATGTGATGCGTCCGTCGTGATAATAAATTCTTGCTCGAAATTCGGATAGCTTAGTACTGGTGCGGTTGTTAATTTATTTTTCAAAGTTTCGAACGCTGCTTGTTGTTCGGTGGTCCACACGAATTTTACGTCCTTTTTTGTTAACTTTGTTAATGGTTTAGCAATTTTAGAAAAATCTTCTATGAATTTGCGATAATATCCGGCAAGTCCGATAAATGATTGAATATCTTTTACTCGCTTCGGTACTGGAAATGTACTCACGGCTTTTAATTTGCTCGGATCTGGTAAAATTCCGTTTTCTGTTATTATGTGTCCTAAATAGACTACTTCCTTTCGCAGAAATTCGCATTTGCTTGGTTGCAATTTTAAATTATTTTTTCGTAATCTTCTAAGTACTTCTATTAATCGCTTATTATGTTCTTCTAGACTTGGTCCGTAAATTACAATATCGTCTAGGTATACTAGACATTTTAATCCCTGCATTCCCGTCAGAATATTATTCATTAGACGTTGAAAAGTTGCGGGCGCGTTCTTTAATCCGAACGGCATGCGATTGAATTCGTAGTGACCGTAAGGTGTGGAAAATGCTGTCTTTTTCTTATCGTATTCGGCCATCGGTATTTGGTGATATCCTGAGGCGAGATCTAATGTAGTAAAATATTTCGCATTTCCCAATTGGTCTAATATATCTGTAATATTTGGAAGAGGGAACGAATCTCCTATTGTAAGATCATTTAATTTTCGAAAATCTACGACGATTCGTAATTTCGGTTTTCCTGTTTGGTCGGCCTTTTTAGGTACGACTAAAAGTGGTGCGTTCCATTGACTATGGCTAGGCTGTATTATTTCCTGCTCTAACATGTCGCGTATTTGTTTATTCACTTCTTTTTTATGCTTTTCTGGGAGTCGGTACGGTCGTACGTTTACAGTTGCGGAGTCAGCTCGCGTCGTTATCTCGTGCGATACGATACTCGTACACGTCAGTGGTTCTCCCTCTAGATGGAATACGTCGCTGAATTCTTCGCATATGTTTAATAATGTTCTTTTTTCCTCTTCATTTAGATGAGTGATTCCTAGTAGATTCTTGATTTTTTCTTCACGCGGTAGTTCGATTTTTTCGTTGCTCGTCGCGTGGTTTATGTTTAGCGCTTCATTAAAGTCTTCTGTTAAATTTTCAAGTTTGACATACGGTACTTGTATTTCTACTTCATTCTCCGTAGTGTTTATGACGCTCACGGGGCACATGTATTCGCGGGGCTCGACAAGGCAGCTCCCGATGAAAACCCCTGGCGCGGTTTCTTCTGCTTTTATTATTCCAATGCGATTTTGGTCGGTTACTGCTTGGATAATAGTTTCGCTGCGAGGTGTCAGCGTTAATTTTTTGTAAGGGTGGAGTTTTAATGTTACTCCATCAACTTGAAGATAATTCTTTTGATCGCTTTTAATTTTATGCTTTTGTAGGAAATCCATACCGAGTATTCCTGCATAGTCGATAGGGAAGTCGTCCTTCACGATGTACATGGTGTGTTTTATTTCTTTATCTCCTATCAATACGGTTGCCTTTATTTTTCCTATGGTTTTGATTTGATGACCCGTCACTCCGGTGAGAGCCATTGGCTTCTCGGTTATGGGCGTTTCGCCTTTTAAATTTCCTACTTTAATTAGCGTTAGTGTAGCGCCGGTATCAAGTAATAGATTTATACGCCCCTTTTTTATTTCTTTTATTGGCAACGTTATTAGTCTAAGACCGCTATTCGCATGATGTCCGGTGACTTGCGTTATTTGATGCTCTATCGCTGGTCGCGTTCTTCGCGTCTTCGCTCCTTCTTCTTCTTCGCTGCTATCAGACGATGCGTCTTCGCTATCGCTGTTTCGCTTGCTCCTTTGATTTCTCACCTTTACGGCGGAGTTTACTCGCTTTGTTTTGTTCTCTATTTCACGTTTTGCGCGTGGTCGCGTATTTTTGTCGGGTCGCCCGTTAAGTGTCCAGCACTCTTCGCGATTATGTCCCGCCTTTTTGCAATACGTGCAAAATTTTTCGACGGTATTAATTCCTGCTGGCTTGTCAGCTCGCGGCAAGGAAAATTTGTTCGCGTAGCGGCTCGTCCGACAGTTTTGACCGATGTGGCCCGTTTTTCCGCATTTTCCGCATTGGGGTGCGGGGTTTCGTAAATTTCGCGACGAGTAATGATTCGAGTCGATTTTCTTATCGCGTTGATACGCGCGGTGTCGGTCGTTTAGACCTTTTATTTTTTCTTCGGTACTTGCTCCGGCTATGGCTTCTTGAAGCGTTCGGAAGTGCTGAGAGCGTACTAATGTATTTATTTCTTCGCGTAGCCCGATTTGATAGTTCAATAGCGCCTGATCCTTAATATTCTCCAGGATGCCTCGTCGTAGCTCGGGGGTATGGTTTTTCCCTTCCTCCATGGAGTCGAATAGCTCCATGGTCAAAGTATCTACTCGACGACCGAATTCTTGTGCGGTTTCCGTCGGCCTTTGTTTCAGTGCGTTGAATTCGAGCTGTAGATGCGCGGTACTTCTTCGACTCAAATATTCCGTTTCTAGCTCGTCCTTCAGTTGTTTGTAACTGGTAATTTCTCTATCTTTAAATGCTTTCATCGCCTTTCCTTTGAACTTGGTATGTAATACGGCTTCTAATAAGGTCGATGTATCCGCGGGATGAACGTGTTGTATGGCGTATTCACTCGCCTGTATGAATTCTTGCACGCGATCTCGCGAGGTGCCGTCCATCTCGGGGATCATATTGCGTGCTTCTTTTAATGTTAGGAAGTGGAAGGATCCTCCGGATTCGCGAGATATGTGCGATGATGAATTATTCGTCGGTTGTTCGGAAGTTCGTGAATTTCTGTTGTCCTGTTGGACGGGTCGAACATTTCCTCGTTCGCGAACAGCAAATTCCAATTGGTCTATCCTATCTTGTATACCGGCGATTGCTGCTATTAATCGATCTAGGACTTCGTCCTGTCTATTTGTTACTCGCGATCTGCCCGTGGTTCCTCCGAGAAGTTCCATCTCCGTTACGTTTAAGCTTGCATGGCCCAGGGGGCTACCTTCGGTGTTATCGTTTTCGTCTTCGTCTAATTGGAAGGTCACTTTTCTTCTGCCACGTCTATTTTCAGGAGTACCGAGATCTTGCGGGCTGGTTAAATTTTGGGCGTTATCTGCGCCTGTTGTTGGTGAACGTTCAGGGGTATTGTCCCTGGGTGGAGTACGCGTCGTCATGTCACGGCTGTTTTGAGTAGTCTCGTCCGTGTCAATTATATTTTTATCGCGTTTTGTCGCGTCTTGTTTTATTGTGTTAAAATCGTTTAGATCTAACTGGAATTCGCGATTTGTTATCACGTATGGGGGTAAGTTTATATCGTTGTCGATTAACTGATTCGAATTATCGGTTATGTTATCGTGCGCGTTACTAGTTAAGTTTAACGGCGGTTCGCT